TAAGCCTTGTAAATTAAACACTGTAAACCAAAACATGAGCGTATTGTAACTATAACTTCAGTAAAATTTGAGGGAAAAGCAGGTATATAACAAGAAAAACAACAATGACAACAATTAGTAGACAAATAAATCAAATGCAAGTCACAAAACAGAGGCTAGACACAACAAATTAGTCTTTATGTTTTTTTGGGGGAAGACATTATCAAGTAAAATATCTGCAGACACTCATTTAGGTGAAAAAAGAATCTATCAAAAGATTCATGATAGGGAGTGGTCAATAAAACTCTTATCTCATCAGACAGCAGATTCTCAGATACAATCATTAACATGAATGTGTAATTTTGCTATGTATATAACTCATGATGAAAGAGGGGGCAACAAATCTCTTAAGAGTCGCAGGAGTCGGTGGAAATTTTTCTGATTAGTCAATCATACAATTGCCAGGGAACGTGCAAATGCATGCAAACCAAATTGAATGAATTTCATGACTCAAATGCATTAGTCCATAGTATTTATTTATCTCGTGTGATACCAATAATAGCTTATGATTTTAGAACAAAACCCATATGCAAAGTACAATAATTTTGTTAACAAATATAATTCTTTTCCACAACAACAATGGAATATCAATATTCTAGCCTCTTTTTCAAAGGAAAAACCTGATTAAATGAAAAGTACAAGCATAAAATCAAGGAAATATGGGAAATGACAGTTGGTCAACATCGCCAAAGTTTATTTGATATTGAAAGGAAACTACAACCACATATAAAGTATTTGCCAATCAAATTCATTTCATCTCTACAAATTATGTACTTCAACCATAAGCTGAAGTATATATATTGACTTCCAACAGTAAGCTCAATACAAAATCATCGCTCACAACCCTTTTTTACAATTACAGAGGCCTACCAAGGAAAAGAATCCAAATATACCATACGAAAATCAACCAATTTCTTGTGAAACCAAATAGCCTTAAAAACTTTTAAATGTATCCAAGTTCCTAGCTACAATAACTTAGAGCAAGCAATAAAAATATAAAATTCCTAATTGTGCTTTAAAAAAGGGTGCGCTAGATGCGCTAATACAAATCCAACAGCAGATAAAACTAAAGACAACATAAAAGTATAGTTACAACAATCCTGAAGCTCTAACCAAACTGCTAGTAAACTCATGCAAATTATATTTATAATTGCAACATATAACTATAACTAAAATCATAAGGATAAAATAGAGTCGAAGATATTTGGGAATAACAGCTCTATTGTACTTGCATCGGTAGAGATAATTCAGGCATCATTTGAGTAGAAGCATTGTGAACAGCAAGTTAAGTGAAAACAAGTAAAATTACTGAGCAGGAGGTTTGCCTTACAAGTTTAACCTTTATTAATACACACACTAAGTAGTGAGATGTTAAATATTTATTACTTTCTGATATAATTGCAGGAAATTGAGAAATGTGCATGTAAGTTCCAGTACCCATAGCCATGCCCATTCCTCATTATGGCCATGTTTCTGGGTAATCGGAGCCCAGATAAGTTCCACTAATTACTCCCTGGAGATGCTACCTTTTTCTCAAATTAAAAAAAAATCAAAAAAATAACAATTGAATTTTTACCTGATGAAATTGACACAGGAGCAAGATGAAAGACTTGAAGCAAGCCCTAATTCAGACAACCCTCAACCTTGAGTCCACCCATTTAACAAACAATCGTCCCTTGAAACCGTAGGAGATCGAGAAGTAGGGCAAAATTAGAACAAAATGAGAGGTATGAAGAACAAAAAGTTGAGAGGGTGAATTGAGCAGAAATAACGATTCAAATCATACGTAGAATTCGACTGAAATTTCAAAAGAATTGGTAAAATTTAGAAACACCTCTTCAATGAAATTCCTTCCTGACCCTAACCGATCCCAAAATTCTGAGAA